AATTTTTTCCAGTTACTTCTGAATCCCTGAAAACTGTGGCTATAAGTTGATTGCAATTCCAAAGTTAATCCAGTACTTTTGTTGGGAGTCTGTCTAAATCTGTCCAAACTGTAGAACTCCTTGGCTTTCTTCTTTCCTTCTTTCTATGTTGCTTTTTTCTCATGTTTCATACTGCTTAGTTAGTACTTACCTCAGTCCAGTTAAGTATATTTGACTATGGATCTTTCATTGTGAAACAAACCATTAAATAAAGCGATCAATATCAATTTCATCATCTGGTTGAAAATGAATCCACCGTTCTGCTGTTGGAGGTGTAGAATTGAGATTACTGGATAAATAAGCACAGACAGAGACAGGAGATTGAGCATTGATGTTTTACTAGAAAAAAGAAAACTGATGGAAAGAAAGAAATAAAGGAAGAAAGAAACTGTTAAAGCCAGAGCATTGACAACCCACCGGTCAGCTTTTTGCTGTCTTCGCACAAAATCTTATGCTCTGGTGGTGAAAAATAAAAGAAATGAAAAGAAAAAGAAAAGGCAACAGTATCATGTGAGGTTGAAGTGTCTGGTGTTTCTGGTCTAGTGAGCTGGATTAGTGATAACTGTAAGAAACCCACTATTTGAGCATTTTTTCTCATGCTGGATTGGTGCAGTACTTCTGCAGGCTCCTGATCCCCTCGGCCGAGAAGTGAGTAGAAAATTTCTACTTTACTGGTAAAATTTATGGATAGTTTAAATCTGTTGTCTGAAATACATGTAGATTCAAGAGGTTCTTTTCTGTTTATGTGTTTGTCTGTTTGGCTTGAATAGATCTGATGCAGGACTAATACAAGATGAGGTGCGAGTTCAACAGACAAGGTTATGATACAGAAGGAAAGCAACGCTGAGAACGCAGAGCTAGAAGAAACTCAGATTGTCAACCAGTGTCTCAGGTTCTTGATTAATCTCTAGCCTGTTACTTTGCATTGGATTAGGGCAAGAAATTAAAATATTTTCAAGAAATCATTCTTGAGATGTGCTATGTACAGAGCTTTTTGTATGTTAGGGGAGACACGAGCCAAAGGAAGACAAGACAAAACGTGGGGAAGGAACAATGATGGCCTAAGCAGGTGAGAGGTAGGGTAAAGGACAAACTATAAAATAACAAAATTGGAAGGGCAAAAAACATAAACATACAGTATCGGGCTGCATTATGACACAGATCTTAAGCATCATGCTTTAGCTGTATTGCAGTATAATAACTGCACTAATTTACTTCCCTTATTTTTTTACCAAGATTTCCTCAGATATTAAAGGATCAGTGTGCAGGATTTAGAGTGCTTCTTTAAGCATGTTTTCATCATTATATAACAACCTGTACCTGGGAATGACTGTGTTTCAGTACTCTAGAATGAGCCCTTCATACATACACAGGAAGCAGCTCGTCTTCATTGGATATTGCCAGGTTTGGACCAACCAAATGCCAGAGGGCCTTTGTGTTTTTCTGTTGAAATGACGTTGACTGTAAGTTTGTTGCTGGTTGCAGTCTCCAATCTGACAGCCAGATGTCACTAACACCTACACACCGGTCTGTAATGCAATATGCATTTTTCTATTTTCAGGTCCCCAAAAATGTACTGTACCATATAGATTCGGGGGAAAACATAGTCCACTTATTGAAGCGCAAACCCGTTCAGTTTGAACATGAATGTGAACGAAACGCGATGACAAAATGTGATTTAAAAAAAAAGTAAAAGCACCATTAGTGCTACACTTTTGAAAATGCCCCAAACTATTTCCCAGCAGTACAGCAGTCAAACTGATCTACGTACAGTCATAAACAGTGGCATTTTTACATTGTTTCAAGTGGCTTTGCAGCTAACAAAACATAGATTTGAGGGGGGTAAAGACACTATTAGACAGTGTAAAGCAGTGAATAACTAATGGTTCTATGGTTTGAGCCGACCGCGTCTATGCAACTATGTATGTGCGCATGTTTCCATGTGTGTGTCTCTGTGAGTGCCAGATGGACATTCAGTGTTGTTTCGGACACATGAAAACGGTGGTATTTCAATATTTTCAAGTTATTAAAAAACAGCCATTGAACAGAATGTATGCCATGGCCTCTGACAATCAGTGATCAATGTTTTCTATAGCTCTCTATAGGCTTTTATATATATATATATATATATTTATTTATTTGTATTATATATAATATGTAGATTTATAAAAAAAATTTCATCTTAATTACAAGTAGTGGCATTTTTTTATATTCATTATTGCAATGAATTGTTATCTAAGATGATTAAAAAAGACAGGTGAATTCTGTTTTGCTACGCAGTTATTTACAACAGTTTTAAAAAGCAAGCTCTCTGATATGGTACCTTTTCCCAGCGACTGGAAAAAATGGAGGATCTCAAATAACAACCAAACTGCCCATTTGAGTTGAACTGAATTGGAAATTGTCAAAGTTGGCCTTTATAGTTCAAATATCCTTTTACCTTTTACAGTGGAAAATGAATGCGTTCCCACATTTTTAAAGATTTTTACCCAACGTATTTCAAATGTCTCGTTCATTTCTTCTGCAAACGTCTGTAAGATCCCAGTTGTCAGGCTGAGAAACACTTTGTTAGGAAGCCATTTGAGATCTGCCCATGTATTTCTTTTTTTTTTTTTTCTCTATTTATCAACCTCACCCACTCGGCAAAATAAGTACTCATCACTTTGCTATTTAGAATTTCTACTGTCATGTTGATGCTGTTGATGAGGGGCTCCATGAATCACCACGTTTTTTTTTCTTTTACAAACCCCTGTGTAGTCTGTGTTTTGGAGGTTACTTCTGTTCTATATCGATTAACTCGCTGGTTTGGGGAGAGAAACCATTCTATAAGCATTTTCATTCATTTTGAGCAGTCCATGGCTGAGTAGTCCAAATGTTCAAGCTTACAGTTTTCTGGTCTTCTAAGGGTTATACTAGCTGGCACTCTTCGCAGGCAAGTTAAATTGATGACGACCGTGATGATGATTATGATGAAAACAATGTTTGTCGTCTTAGTAAGGCGCTGTTAAGGGGGTGTGGCTTATTGTCCAATGACGAGAGAGCGGGAGCTAAGTAGTTTGGTTGTTTGTTTTTTGTTTTTTTTCCTCTCGTCGGCTGTGGTCATCATCTTTCTCACTGTCATCATCATGATCAGTTTTATGGTCGTATTCACAGCTCATTGTTCATGGGAATCTGTGCTGGCTTTCCTGTTGGTTCGATGATCTCGCGATATTGGCATCCTCTCAAAAAAAAAGATAAGAAAGAAAATTAAAAAGAAAAGAATGCTGCAGGCAAGTGTGACGCCATAGTTGTCCATTGCTCTGTTTCTACACCGTTCGCTCCACAGTTGTATTCATCAGTCTTCTGTAAAATGAGTCAGTGGCAGCAGGAAATGTGAAATGATGATGCGGTGTGTGTGTGTTTCATGTAAAAATGTGTTTCTCTGTATCTGAATATTTGAGCTTCTGTTGCTATGATCATGTACGTGCGGGTGTGTGAGAATATATATATAGATCTTTTTGTATGTAAGTGTGTGTTTGGGTCTTTGTCGAAGTCCTAGTATGTTTGTGTGTTGTTAAGGCACGGCAGGTGTTTTTTGGTTTTCAGGGCAGTCCAGAGGAGACCACTGCAAGGCCGGGGTGTCGGAGGGAGGCGTGGCCAGCATGCACAGCTTTGGGGCAGTCTGGCGTCAGGACGCGGCCATTCTCCCCCACACTTCCTGTGATGGACAGACGAGCCTTGTTCCGCATGGCTTCAGAAAAAGACAGCTACATGAGGAGAGATGAAAGGGAGGACAGGAGAAGGGGAGGAAATAGCAGAGTGGAGATATCGTTTGAGAAAAAGAAAACACTCTCATAGACAGAAACACCGCACAGCAAATGCAACAACAACTAAAACGACAACTTTCTGTAAAAACACATGCACAAAAAGCACTTACACATGCATGTGCCTGTACACACACTACACATATTAGGCTCACAAATACAAAAAAAAGGTCTCAGGGCGCGATCACGTAGACATATAAAATATTTGAAATAGTTAAAATTATATTGAGAAGGTTTCGCTGTTTGGAGTTTGTACATAAGCAAACCAGTGCTACAGGAACCAAATAAAGGATTCAATTAATTATCAAGCTAATCAGAGGCAACTCTGATGATGGATTCTTCTTTTAAATAATTGATCAAATAAAAATTTGAAACATTTGCCGCTTCTCAAACTGATCATGTACTTAATTTCCCTTTTACACTTGTTATTATTATTATTATTATTATTGTTATTATTATTATTATTCAGTACATGTCTTTGTATTCAACGGTGTTTAACAAAAGTAACAAAGACATTAGCCTGTGGTTTGGTAAATTCTAGTCAGCATCTTTTTGATCCCTCTAAAAAGACCATTAGATCAACATATAAGGAAAACACGTTACATTAAGAGACACAAACAAGTGCTTGGTTGTAGGAATAGAAGCTGTAGTAGTAAATGAATGAATAAGGAGCAACCCAGTAGTTAATGAGTTATTCATCAGTTCTACCCTAATAATGCCTGATGCTGGATTTTATAGTATAAAAATGATTATTTACCAAATACCCAGCTGGGAGACGCTACTTAACTCAGCAGTTCCTTATTACTTCAGGATTGCTTCACCGTAACCTCCCCTTCAGGTGTCCCCTAAATTAAAGTAGTTAGTAAAGTCGTACGTGGCTAAACAAGTCTCTTATTGTAAAATGCTGAGACATGAAGCTTATTCCTTTTTTTAATTATTAAACAAACCAAAATAAAAAAGGGTCATGGATTTCAGTTCAATAGCCTGGAAAATATCAAATTTTGAAATTCCACTTGTTAAAGGTGACCTGTAGAGTTCTCGTGTAAACAAACTTCATTTAAAAAGAAAAAGTTTATTCATTACTTTTTAAAAACTTTCATTCATTGAGGCTGTGGGAGCATTATAAAAGCTGCTAATAAAAGCCTGGAATGTAGGCTTCTTGTTATGTGACATCTTGACCTAGTGTGCTATGTAATGCATGCATCTGCAAGCAGCTTTGCATCCCACCTCCAATCCATCTCCTCCTTTCTTGTTGTGTCCGACTTAATCAGTAATTTGCTGTTGTCCTTAATGCCTGCTTAGATCCATATCAAGGCTCTTGCTTGTGCTCAGCCTTCCTGCAGCTTTCCTATATGCAGATGAAACGGCAGGGAGGAGTGCTCTCCCTGACTTATGCTTTCCACATATGCGTGAGAAAGGGTAGGGAAGTCCCAGAAGAGAGCAATGCTCTCCAAATATAAACCACTGCAAATGGAAATAACATCTTTACACCACAGTGGTGCTGACTGAACTCTAATTTACATTTTACTTGCTAGCACTTCTTCTCTTTTTTGTGAATTGCTGTGCTAAGCGATTACTAGCAAGAGTACATGTGCATTCTTGTGCATGATGCAAACAAAATAAAATAAAACAAGCAATCATACATTGTGGTACTAATGATAAAAAACGCGACAGGAAACCTTTAAGTTTGTTTTTGACACCAAATTAGAGGTTATCTAGAGAACGATGTAAAATGTTTTGATTTGATGTTAGTATTCATTTGTATTTTAGAAAATAAAAAGCTCTAATCCTCTTTTTGAATTACGTTAAACAGATGAGGTGTGAAAGCACCCTAAACTGCACATTCAAATCTCATTAAGAGGCTACCACGCTGTGCAAATGCTACTGTAGCATACAGAGGCAGGCAACAATCCACAAACATGTACACTATAGACAAGAAGGGTTTGTGTTGTAGACAACTGCATTTCATAGGTGACCATGCGTTTTTGGGTTCTGGGTTTCAGTAACCTGACAGACTCGGGTGTGGATTTGGAAGGACAGGATTGAAATGGTGAGGACTTTGGAAAGACAGAGGGAAAACGGGAAGGAGTGATTTTTCATCCAGGGTTTCAAATTCATAGAGAGGGAGTGACTGGCTATACTGCTCAGAGTCGGGTGACACTTCACACAGATGAGCTACTCTGGGATGTTTTGTTTTCTTAAAATTTCTCGCCTGCTAAATCATGTTAGAGGTTTTCAAACTGAGTACACTGAACATCTAGAGGCAATAATCTGTTTAAACGATGCTAGCAAAGAAAAATAGTACATTCTTAATCTTAAACTTCGAATCAGGTGTTCTTGTGTGAACTTTTGTATACTTGAATTACAAGATAACATCTGAAAATAATGTTGTGTATTATTTAATTCCCCTTTCCGTTGTATGGCTTTTTTATTTTAAGGCTTGTGAAGTGTAGAATTAAAGAGAAGACATGGAATTTTTAAATAACCTACCACTGCTCTTTGAAATATTCTTGTATGACTGATAGCAGACCATAATCATTTGGGGAATTGCTGTTAACATCAGTGTTCTTACTTTTGAGTGTGGTCCAAAATGGTCCGCTGTGAAAGTGGTTTGTCTTTGGTGAATTCTCCATCGTATTCAAAACTGTCAGTTTATGTCAAGAGCCAACATTCAGTGCGCATTTAGCTCTCCTTATTTTTGCATCCTCTGTATCGATTTTGCTACTTTCCTCAAGGTGAACATCAAGTATGACCTCATAATGCCTCTAAATGGTTTCCTACGCACTGAAATGTTCAGTGTTTTCTGTTCACTTTAGTTAATTGCTCCTTTATATAACAATAAACATGAGTCATGTTGCAACCACATCACAGAGTAGCTGTTCCATATGAAGTACTTGCTTCATCAATTATTCGTCTGCATTAAAACTAAGTAAGTAACCGGGCTGTTTTGAAATTGTCAGAGCTGGAAAGCCAAAGTGCCTTTTTTGTCTGTCTGCAGTAAGGATGCACAACTCCAGGTATTGGATGACACAATAGAGACGTAGCGTAGATGATACACAATATCAACTAAAAGCCAGCAGAGATGAGACTGGTAACTTGGAACTTGCTCTTCAATGTGTGCCTTTGTATTGTTTTTGTATAAATTTCTCTATATTTATTCCTGCTGTCTGCTATTTATATTTTTTATATTATATTTTGGTATTGTACAATGACAACAAAGGGCTATTCTATTATAAATTCAAAAGGAATTAACACATTTAATAAAAGGAATGAATTAACAGATCATTTAGACTCATGGTGTTTGCGTATACTTTTTAGCACAAAGGATTTCCATTGTGTTCACCTTAGTATACACCCACCAGCCAATTCATAAGGTACACCTTGCTAGCACTGGATTGGATCCAGTTTTGCGTTCAGAGCTGTATTCATTCTTGTGGCATAGATTCAATAACGTGTTGGGAACATTCCTCAGATTGTTTTAATCCTTATTTTCATGATAGCTTTACATGGTTGCTGCACATTTTGTGCGTCTGTTCCAGCACACCCTAAAGATGCTCTATTGGATTGAAATCTGATGACCGTGGAGGCCATTTGAATACAGTGAACTTATACTCATATTCAAGAAACCAGTTTGATATGATTCAAGCTTTGTGACATGGTGTATTATACTGGTGGAAGCAGCCATCAGAAGTTGGGTACACTCTGCTCAGAAAAAGAGATGGACATGGTCAGAAACTGTACTCAGGCTGGACATGGTGTTTAAATTTCCCAAGGTGTGCCAAAAAATATCCTCCACACCATTACACCACCAGCAGCAACATGAAACTCTGATACAAGGCAGGCTACCATCTAAATGTTTAGGAGAAAATGAGACTCTTCAGATTTGATTCACTGTTGCTTGTTAACTCAAAGCAGTGGGATGATAGTGTGGGAAAAGTCCCAGTGGATCAGCAGTTTCTGAAATCACTTTTGAATTTCAGGAGGTGTCTTGGCCATGTCCACCTGCCTACATGCATTCAGTTGCTGTCATGTGATTGACTGATTGGATTGCATTAATAATAACTGAAAAGGTATACCTAACAAACAATATGGTAGTTGGAAAATTTAGCTTTTACGTACGTCAATATCTGTATTCATCTTTCCACTTGAAATTAAGATAAATGGAAAAATAACGTTTTTACAGACAAAAGATATATAAATAAATAAATAAATAAATAAAAGCAATTAAAAGCTGCTGTTGGCTTAAAAAAAATCACCTTGCCATTTTATATCTCCCTCAAGAATTTGTACTTCTACTGATTAAGGTAATTTTTCAGGGGGAATGTGGCGCAGCAGCAACTTTGCTGAAGCTTTCAGAAGACCAGACGTGCTCTAAATTAGTTTGAATTGGCTCAACACTAACTGGTCTTAAGAGGGACCAAACACAAATTTCTATCTGCGTTCATGTGCTATTAACAACCCACTCTACCCATTTGTCTGGTATTGTAGTGGTGCTAGAGGGAGTAATGAGATGTCTAGTTATGCTGAAAGAATGGACATCTACAGTTATATAAATATCTTAATAATGCTTTTCATCATAAGATGTCTGTCACATTTTGGGTAAAAATATTTTAAGTCAGACCCAAATCCACGGTAATTGGTGTCCGCACACTAGCTAATTAATTTGTAGCTGGAAGCAGTCACAGATTTTAATGAGGGCTACCAAATTAACAAACTTTTGCTCTCAGGATGGTGAAAAAATGAAAATAGATAATCCCTAAAACCTTGTGAAAGTTTAACCAAGAAAACACATCAGCAGATGAGGATAACGAAGACGTTTTTAGCATTAATAAACTTGAAACTTTTAAAGAAGGGACTCAAGATGTCACATGTGAAATAAGATAATAAACCAACACCATTAATTACGGTAATTAATATATAAATAATTAATAAATAATATATTCATTAATTTATTCATTCAAAATAAAAAGGTTCTAAAAAATCAAAATGTATTTAATGCTGGAGTTGTGCATCGCGGCTTCAATATGTTATCTGAAAATTACAATGCAGGTGCCTAGTCATTAACCAAGAGCATCACCACCACTGTCATCATCATCATCACCATCATGATCATCTGCAGCCAAAGACGATGGAACCAAATCTGTGGTCACATAAATCTAACCCCAGTCTAGCCCAGGGTGACGTAACCGTGACAAAACGCAAACCAAATTTAAACCCAAAAGTCTAAGAAAATATTCTGCCAATAAATAAATAAATAAATAACCAAAACAGCCAAAATGAAGCAGAAAACATAAAAAAACAAATTAAAAAGTACATTGGTTCCACAATGCTTGACCACATACTCATCACCACATGAAGAACAACACGGTTGCGTGGGGCTGCTGCGACAGCCTCGTCGGTACAAAATCTACAGCACCACCACCATGTTCAACACCACCATTACCCCACCTATACGGGAGCCTCTAAATCCTACCCCTATATCTTGACCCCCTCGGAGCCGTACACGTTGTACCCCTCCCTATAAGTGGCTAGATTCTGGGTGCTGGGGGAGGGGCTGGGGCAGTGGGGGGGGCTAAGGTCCACCTTCATGCGCTTGGCTTCGGCCCGTGACTTGTAGCAGAACTCGACCAGGGCCACCAGCATTGCCAGGCCCAGGCCGCCCACAAGGATGTAGAAGACCCCAGCCACGTTGGACAGGCTCAGAGCCTGGGACGACTTGTCCTGAAGAGATGGGAGGGAGGGAGGATTCAAGGAACATGTGTTTAAAAGATGAAAGGGTAGTAGTAGTAGGACAGGTAGAGGAGAAGTGGTGGGTAGACAGGAAGGAAGAGTAGAGAAGAAGGGGAAAAGTGAGGTGAGACGTTGAGTAGGCTCAAGGTGAGAGCAGTAAAAGGAGAGTGGTGCAATGAGGAAGGTGGAGACAGAATAGGGAATGATCAGAGGGAAAGGGAAAATGAGGGAAAAAGCAGACAAAGAAAAGCAGATACAGTAAGTTAGACACAGAGAAATGGAGAATATACCAGATAAATTAATATGGTTACAGGTACTGAAGTTATGGTATTATCATAAATGATCACAGTAATACATTCTACTTATATAAACTGACATACTACTCATATAAAACTTTAATCTCTACTGCCACCACAACTGCTACTCCACAAATACTGTATACTACAAATCTATCACTACAGCTACAAGACATTCAACAGTTCTAGAAATGTTACAGTGTGCAAAATAGTGCAGCAAGAATGAATTATTTGTAGATCAAGATTTTAATCTGAGCGGGGATTTTACTTTGCTCTATTTTTTGGAAAAGCTCCAGTACTTTAGTTAAAATTTAAAGCAACTCCCATGTCAAATATTTATAGCAGGGCACCCCCCCCCC